GTACTTACATTAAACATAATAGGACCTTGATGCACGTCATTTTTTTTCCCCGGATCAAGTTCGAAATGGCCGACTGGCGGCCATTTTCTTAAAGAATTCAGTTCTGGATCCGTATCCAAGACAAGTCTGGATTGATCAAGTTCAAACTTCACACACACATGGTGCATCATGTCACAAATAGATATGTGCATTTGTTTCATGATCCGCTTAACAATAGCTGAATGATGGCCATTTTAAGACCGAAAATGCATTAAAATCACGTATTTTCACAATTCCGGAACCAGATCTCAGTCATGCATGGATGGATTTTGTTCAGATTTAGTACAATGTGTTGTACATATGCAGGTGCATTTCGGTCATGATCTGCTTTGAATGTATATGTCACTCAAATATGAACGGAACGGGGACGTGTCATTGACAATGGCTTGTTTATAATGGGACTTGTCATGCCCACAGATGGCCATCCTGTTATGGCAACAGGAAGTACTGCTGGACATGTTGCATTGTGGGATTTAGAAGAGCGCAAGTTATTAAGTCAGATGCGTGATGTTCACCATGGTGCCGTGGCATCATTAAAGTACCTTCCATCAGAGCCATTGATGGTATCTACCTCAGCAGACAACTCCATTAAGGTATGATCAAAAATTTGTATATATCAGTACTAATTAAATAAACATTCTCTAGTCTAGTCATTACCATCTGAATCATCAAATGTGAGTCAATTTTCTTCAATTAACTAAATTAAGACAAGCACAATGTATACATTGCAAAATATCACTAACAAGAAAATACTTGAATAATTTGTAAATGTATTCTTTATTGACCATAGCTGGTTTCCATTCATATAAATGCCAATACAGGGTGTGAACTTCAGATTTGACAGTGCATCCATTGTCAAGGCCAAAGTTGCATTATGGGAATAATATTGAAAATATCTAGAAGAACTAATGTTACCACCTCTGACATCTAGGAAATTGCCTCTGATCCGTCTATGGATCCGTCTATGGATCAGTCCCAGCAATTACAGTGCAGCCTCTAAATAATGTCAACTGCTTTCTGAAATGATGTTCAAATTCTTATTAATATTACATATACTACATTCACATGTATTCATTATATGTAGATATGGATATTTGATATTGCTGATGGTGGTGGACGTCTTTTACGACAGAGAAGTGGGCATTATGCTCCCCCAAGTAAAATTCGATTCTATGGTCCAAACGGTACAGATATATTAAGTGCAGGTAATTATAAATTGTTGAAACAGGCTTGGGTTTTGTTTTTGGCTCAACAGACCATAGGTCCGCTGAGCCTATGGGATGGGTTTCTGTCTGTCTGTCAGTTTTGTTAATTTGGTAATGAAATTTTCAATTTCCTAATTTTGGCGAATATTTTAAAATGGTAATTTTTGGTCAAAAATGCAATTTTCGACTTCTTCTCTGAAACTGATGGTCTGATTGCACTCAAACTCGTGTTGTATATACCTTGGATGGACCTCTATCAGATTTGTTCATTTCATGTCCATATCTTCAATTCTCAAAAATGCTGTTTTCGACTTCTTCTTCGAAACTGGTAGTCCGATTGCTCTCAAACCAGCATCGTATATAAGATTTGTTCATTTTGTGTTGACATCTTCAATTCTCTATTTTTATCAAATATTTTGTCATTTTTCATTAAAAATAGTACTTTTGACTTGTTCTTCAAAACCAGTAGTCCAAATTCTTTGATACTTGGTTCACATGTAGCTTGGATGGCACTTCACCCAGTCACTAAAAGTGGCCAATTTTATCAAAAATTTCAGAAATTCATGATTTTTTTATTACCCTCTTTTTAATGCACTACAGTTGTTGGAAAATGGACAAAACTTGGAAAGATTATACAATGATGCTATATTGAAATTATATGCTCACAGGGAGATATGTTCTGTCAACTGTTTCTCATTCTCACATAGCACATGAGAGTTCTAAGTTTTCTTTGATTGGTCTATTGTGATTGTAATGAAAACATAACCACATATTTAAATGTGTATAGACATGATTGATTTTGGTGGAAAATTATGCAAATTGCCTAATTTACATTCTAATATTTTGGTGATATCTTGAGAACCATTTAATATGTTTTAATAAAACTTGGTGCAGATATATTTAGTTTTTGGTGGAAATTTATGCAAAATATCTAATTTGCATATCAGCTAGTGAAATTCAAGCTATTTGGGTGCTATTTCAAGAACCATTCAACATATTTCAACAAAACTAGGTATATACATGTATTACAAATTCAGATAATTGCAAATATTATGTAATGTTATTCTCTCAACACGCTAGAGTTCTTTTTAAGCTCTCTTTGATTCTAATATTATTGATTTTTTAGCATTATGTTGTATTGTCTCACTCACTGCCTTTTGGGGTATTTGTCATATACAGCACTAATCTTTTGTACAATAGCTGTTGGCCATTGGCCTATTTTTTTGTTCATGGTTTCAATAGATGTATACTGTTGCCCTCAATGACAGTCAATGTGTATACTGTTGCCCTCATTGCCAGTCAATATGTGTATACTGTTGCCTCATTGCCAGTCAATATGTGTATACTGTTGCCCTCATTGCCAGTCATTATGTGTATACTGTTGCCCTCATTGCCAGTCATTATGTGTATACTGTTGCCCTCATTGCCAGTCATTATGTGTATACTGATGCCCTCATTGCCAGTCAATATGTGTATACTGATGCCCTCATTGCCAGTCAATATGTGTATACTGTTGCCCTCATTGCCAGTCAGTATGTGTATGCTGTTGCCCTCATTGCCAGTCAGTATGTGTATGCTGTTGCCCTCATTGCCAGTCAGTATGTGTATGCTGTTGCCCTCATTGCCAGTCAGTATGTATATACTGTTGCTCTCATTGCCAGTTTATATGTATATACTGTTGCCCTCATTGACAGTCAATATGTGTATACTGTTGCCCTCATTGCCAGTCAATGGTGTCTAGGGGTAATAATTTAAACAGATGTGTGTACTGCAATCTTTCTGGCACTCTTAGATGTATTTTCTTTCCACAGGTCAGGACAGCACCCTAAAATCATTCTCAACTGAGCATGACAAGCATAATAAAAACCTCGGCCAGGCATCTATGAATCGAAAACTTGCCAAGAGAAAAGGAATCAAGTATGATGAATACAAATTACCACCCATCACAGTATTTGCGTCAGGTAGGCATTGCCATGGGTAGACATTGCCATGGGTAGGCATTGCCATGGGCAGACATTGCCATGGGTAGAAATTGCCATGGGCAGACATTGCCATGGGCAGACATTGCCATGGGTAGACATTGCCATGGGTAGGCATTGCCATGGGTAGGCATTGCCATGGGTAGGCATTGCCATGGGTAGGCATTGCCATGGGTAGACATTGCCATGGGTAGGCATTGCCATGGGTAGGCATTGCCATGGGTAGGCATTGCCATGGGTAGACATTGCCATGGGTAGACATTGCCATGGGTAGGCATTGCCATGGGTAGGCATTGCCATGGGTAGGCATTGCCATGGGTAGGCATTGCCATGGGTTTCTCATTGCCATGGGTAGGCATTGCCGTGGATAGGCATTGTCATGGGTAGACATTGCCATGGGTAGGCATGTATGTAAATGTGTCGAAATGGACATAGTGCGAGTGGCTAGTGCTAGTAGCACTAATCCGAAAAAGTACTAGATCTAGTGCAAAAATGGCACTAGATCTAGCGCTAAAATGGCACTAGATCTAGTGCTAAAATGGCACTAGATCTAGTGCTAAAATGTGCACAGTGCGAGTGGCATTGTTATCGCATTGTCAACGATGTCGAATAATAGGAGGGGCAT